ACTCTAACATTTAGGCCTTTGATCTATTTTTAGTTTTATTGTGCATGGTGCAAGGTAGGGATCTAACTTCATTTTCTTTTGCATGTGAGAATGCAGTTGTTCAAGCATCATTTGTTGAAAACACTATTCTTTTCCCCTTGAATAATCTTAGCACCTTTGTTGGAAATTAATTTGACAGTAAATACAAAAGTTTATGCTGTACTCTTGATTTTGGTTCCACTGGTCTATATGTCTATCCTTATGCCAGTGCCATAAGCTTATTGCCCCATGAGGTTGATCCTTGGGTTATTAACATATCCTCCAAAATGAAAGAAAGAAATTCTTATACAGTTCTAATATTGTACCTTTGTAGTAAAGTTGGAAATTAGGCACTGTTAAGTCTCCCAGCTTGGTTCTTCTTTTTCAAGATTGTTTTGGTTATTGTGGGTCTTTTACATTTTTACCTAAATTTTAGGATCATCCTGTTAATTCCACAAAGAAGACAAAGGTAATTTTGATAGGGATTGTGTTGAATCAATATCTCAACTTAGGGAATATTACTATCTTGAAAATCTTGTTTTTCCGTTTTTAAGCATGGGGTGTTTTGCATTTATTTAGATCTTTAATTTCTTTCAACAATGTTTTGTAGTTTTCAGTTTACAGCTCTTGTATTTCTTAGGTTAAATTTATTTTGAAGTATGTTATTCTTTTTAATCTTATTGTGTATGGAGTTGTTTTCATAACGTCACTTTCAGATTTATTTTTGCTAGTGTATAGAAATAGTATTGAGTTTTGTATATTGATCTTTTGTCCTGTAGCCTCTCTGGACTTGTTTATTTGCTGTAAAATTCTTTTTAGATCCCTTAGGATTTTCCATATATAAGATCATGTCTCCTGTGAATAGAGGTACTTTTACTTTCCAATCTGGATGACTTTTATTTTTCCTCTTGCCTAGGATCTCGAGTATAATATTAGATAGGAAGTCCCCTACATACGAATGAGTTCTGTTCCGAAAGTGCATTCTTAAGTCCAATTTGTTCATAAGTCCAACAAAGTTAGCCTAGGCACCCAACTAACACAGTTGGCTATAGAGTACCATATTATAATTGATTTATAATACTTTTCACACAAATAAAATGTAAAAAACAAACATGAAAAATAAGGAAAACATTTTTAACCTTACAGAATAATACCTTGAGAAGTACAGGACAACACCTGACCTACAGAGGCTGGTACAGAGTGAATAGGCAAGAAGAGTTACTGATCTGAAGAGGGAGAGGAGGTGGGAGATGATAGAGCTGAAGCATTGTCAGCAGTAGGAGACTGAGGGCGAGCTGCAATTTCACTCCCGCCTGATGTTGATAGCACAGGTTCTGGTTCCTTGCTGGATTTAATTCTACCTACCCTTTTGATAAAATGATCCAGTGATGTCTGGGTCGTGCCTCTTTTTTTCTCATCATAGATGATATCTTGGGCTTGAAATTAAGACACTATACTACTCACTCTATACAGTGCGTGCATGCTCAGTCGTATCTGACTCTTTGCGACCCCATGGACTGTAGCCCACCAGGCTCTTCTGTCCCTGGGATTCTCCAGACAAGAATACTGGAATGGGTTACTAGTTCCTCCTCCAGGGGATCTTCCCAACCCAGGGCTTGAACTAGCATCTCCTGTGTCTCCTACATTGGAAGGCAGGTTCTTTTCACTACTGAGCCATCTGAGAAGCCCATTCTCGACAGAACTGTAAACGACACAAAAGCGCAACCACTTGTAGAGGATGCACACACGTGATAATGTGCGCCAGATAAGTGAGCTAACTTAAGACGCAAAAACGCATATTCGAATCTTTGAGAGCTCACACTTGAAGGGGACTTACTAGGTAGAAGTGACATGATTGGGCTTCATTTTCTTGTTCCTGATCATATGGGGAAAGCTTTCAGTCTTTCACCACTAAGTATAATATTAATATTAACTGTGGGTTTTTCTTATATATCCTTTATCAGGTTGAGGAATTTACCTTCTATTCCTGAATTGTTGCATATTTTTCATCATGAAAGGATATTGGATTTTGTGGAATGATTTTCTGCCTCTATTGAGATACTCGTCTGGTTTTGTCGTTTATTCTATTAATATGGAGTATTAAATTAATTGATTTTTGTATGTTGAACCAGCCTTGTATTCTGGGATGAATGCCATTTGGTCATGATATATAATTTTTTATAGTTGCTAGTTTCAGTTTGCTAGTATTTTGTTGAAAATTTTTGCATCTGTATTTATAAGATATTGCTCTGCAGTTTTATTGTATTTTTTCTGGTTTACATATAAGGATGATATTGGCCTCAAAGAACAAGTTAGGAAGTGTTCCATATTATTATTTTTTTTTTTGGAAGTATTTGTGAAACTTTGGTGTTAATTCTCCAATACTTGTTAGGTAGAATTCACCAGTGAAGTTATCTAGACCTGGACTTTCCTTTGTGGGAATTTTTTAAATTACTAGCTCAATCTCTTTACTTGCTATAGTTCTTTTATTCTTTTGTCAGTTTTGGTTCAGTTCAGTTCAATTCAGTCATTCAATCCTGTCTGACTCTTGTGACCCCATGGACTGCAGCATGCCAGGCCTCCCTGTCCATCACCAACTTCCAGAGTTTACTCAAACTCATGTCAATTGAGTCTGTGATGCCATCCAACCATCTTATCCTCTATCATCCCCTTCTCTTCCTGCCTTCAATCTTTCTCAGCATCTAGGTCTTTTCAAATGAGTCAGTTCTTTGCATACGGTGGCCAAAGTATTGGAATTTCAGCTTCAGCATCAATCCTTCCAGTGGATATTCAGGACTGAATTCCTTTAGGATGTACTGGTTGGATCTCCTTGCAGTCCAAGGAACTCTCAAGAGTATTCTCCAACACCACAGTTCAAAAGCATCAATTCTTTGGCGCTCAGCTTTCTTTATAGTCCAACTCTCACATCCATACATGACTACTAGAAAAAACATAGCTTTGACTAAACGGATCTTTGTTGGCAAAGTAATGTCTCTGCTTTTTAATAAGCTGTCTAGATTGGTCATAACTTTTCTTCCAAGCAAGTGTCTTTTAATTTCATAGCTGCAGTCACCATCTGCAGTGATTTTGGAGCCCCCCAAAATAAACTATTTCCCCATCTGTTTGCCATGAAGTGTTGGGACCAGATGCCATGATCTTAGTTGTCTGAATGTTGAGTTTTAAGCCAACTTTTTCACTCTCCTCTTTCACTTTCATCAAGAGTCTCTTTAGTTCTTTATCTTTAGTTCTTCTTTGCTTTCTGCCATAAAGGTGGTGTCATGTGCATATCTGAGGTTATTGATATTTCCCCGGCAATCTTGATTCCAGCTTGTGCTTCATCCAGCCCAGCGTTTCTCATGATGTACTCTGCGTATAAGTTGAATAAGCAGAGTGACAACATACAGCCTTGACATACTCCTTTCCCAATTTGGAACCAGTCTGTTGTTCCATGTCCAATTCTAACTGTTGCTTATTGACCTGCATACAGATTTCCCAGGAGGCAGATCAGATGGTCTGGTATTCCCATCTCTTAAAGAATTTTCCACAGTTGTGGTGACCCACACAGTCCAAGGCTTTGGCATAGTCAATTTTGGTAGTTTTTGTCTAAGAATTCATCCATTTCACCTAGGTTGTCTGATTTGTGAGAAAACAATTGCTCGTGGTATTCTATTTAGATTTTTTGATCTCTCTAAGTTTGGTAGTGATGTTCCATTTTTTTTTTTTTGGTTGTTCCATGTGTGGCTTGCAGGTTCTTAGTTACTCAACCAGATATTGAACTGGTTGAGGTAAGTCCAGTTGAAGATTTCTTTTCTCTGTATTGATCTTTAAAAACAAACAAACAAACAAACTTTTGGTTTTGTTGATTTTCTCCTTTGCTTTTCATTAACTTCCACTTTATATTTCCTTCTGCTTGCTTTGGGTAGTTTAGTCATCATTTATTTAGTTTCTTTTTAAAAATATTTTTTAATTTATTTATGGCTGCACTGGGTCTTCATTGCTACATGCGGACTTTCTCTAGTTGTGGTGAGAAGGGGCTACTCTTTATTGCCATGAGAGGGCTTCTCATTGCAGTGGCTTCTTTTTTGTGGAACACAAGCCATTTATTGTTTAAAAAATATTTCCTTAAGATAAATTCTGTTTAGCAATGTTTGCTATTAAAGGCTAAAAACATTTTATGCCTCAAGTTATTTCCAAAAGGATTATGCTAATTTATATTTTCATTAATAATATATGTGTTTCTTTACATTCTTTATAGGAGCTTTTACAACATTGCTATTATTGATTTTTAATTTGTGAATATAGAAAAATATATTAAAATTGTTAATGAGGTTGAATGACTTTTATGTCTGCTCCATTTTACATGAATTTTCTCTTCTGTGGTCTTAAAAGTACTGTAGCTATCCTGTGAATGATCATTGACATTTTCTTCATTTCTGAAAAAGTGAGATTTTCATACATAATTTTATCAAATAAAACCACTTTAAAGTTGTTTTCCTTAATATTAAAATATCTCTTAATCTATGTCACAGTTTTTAGAAGTACTAAATGCTGTCTTTTTCATCCTAGCAGTGAAACTACACTTCTTTTTTTTTAATTATTGTTTATTTTTATTAGTTGAAAGCTAATTACTTTACAATATTGTAGTGGTTTTTGAAACTACACTTCTTAATGTTTCTTAGAAGCTAGTAGTAATATGGTTCTCAGATATTCCCAGAAAAATCTCATCTAACTCTAGCTATAATGTAAAGTATCAATTGATTTTTGTAAATATATTGAATTATGTCATATATTGTTTCTTGAGGGAAATGTAGTTTGAATGTTAATTAATATTAAAGCAAACTTTTAGAATGTATCCCTTTAAAAGCTTAGCAATTATTTTGGTGATTGTACAAATGAAAATGTTTCCTGAAATTGGTGACTTACTACAAATTCTACAACATTGCTTTTCCTTGTGACTTAATCTAATTTTTGCTTTTTCCCAGTTTAAGGCCAATCCTCCTGCTGTGACTTTCAAACTAATGGGGGAGACAGATGGCATATTTCAGATACAACCTGATGGACTTCTATATCACAACAAAACCCTGGACAGGGAAACAAGAGCTGTTCACAGACTGCAGGTGAGCTGACGCCAGACACCGGACACTAACTCCAATCTCTGAGCATCGGAAATATCACTGACACTCATCCCCAGCACAGAATACCATTTCCACTCTCCTGACCCTGATGACCTGTTTGCACATCTCATTTGTCCACATTTTTTTTTAAACCAACTAGAGAGTGATTTGGTAAAGGTAGCCTCGTTTTTAGGCTTTTTGACCAGGGTAACCCAAGATATACTGCCAAGTCTCTCAGATGGGTCACTCATCCCAAGCAAGGCCCTACTTAGGCACCTGGATCAAAACCACTCGACACTTCTCTGATGTTTCACTGATGTCTTGCTCTGGCTGTTGGGTGGGCTCTGGCTCTGCAAAGAAGGCAGCATTGGTGCTAGATGGCACACCTTTGGGCCTTGCAAGAAGCAGCAGTAACCGATGACCAAAGTCAGAGTCTGACTAAAGAGACCTCCTCCCTCTCTTTCTCCCTTAGATTTCATGGTTTGTATCTGAATACACAGAAATGGTAGAGAGCTAACTGTGGGTAAAGAGCAGACCAGAAGCTTTCTGTTGGTAAATCTGCAGACTGACCACTAAAGTGCCTCTGTAACAGCACGTGACGTTTCCATACCCTCAAGGGTCAGAGTGTTCTTATTTCACTGATTCTAGCTATTTAGAAAAGAGCATGTCCAGTGTCCAGCATATTCCACTGCTGGAAAAACACAGTCATGATTAGCTTGGCTTAACTGATAGGGCCTCTATTTTAGCAGCCCCCAATTTGAGCTTTTATGGGTGTCTTCCTCCCCTGTAGTTATCAGATTATTGGTTATTTGGGCTCTAATTTCCTTCAAGTGAATTTTGGGTGTGTGATATGAGGTTCAGACTTACCAAGAAGGTTTCCTTTTCCTGTCAACATCAGGTCTCAGCCCTGGATGCTCAGGGCAATACAGTGGAGGGCCCGGTCCCTGTCACCATCGAAGTGAAGGACATCAATGACAACCGACCTGTTTTTCTCCAGCAACATTATGAAGGCTCAGTAAGGCAGAATTCTCGCCCAGGTAATAGGCAGGAGCCTGGAGATATTTGGCAGAATGTCAGATTTGTGTGGTTAACAGCTATGGCTATCATTCATTAAGCGCTTACTATCTTATTTAAGGGCTTCCCTTGTAGCTTAGTTGGTAAAGACTCTGCCTGCAGTGCAGGAGACCCGGGTTCGATCCCTGGGTAGGGAAGATCCCCTGGAGAAGGAAGTGGCAACCCCCTCCAGTATCCTTGCCTGGAAAATCTCATGGACAGGGGAGCCTGGTGGGCTGCAGTCCATGGGGTCGCAAAGAGTCAGGCACTACTGAGCGACTAACACTTACTTATCTTATTTAAATTTCACAACAATCCTCCAGGATTTGTTTTATTACCCCCATTTCTCAAAGGCACAATTTCTCACCCTTGGCACTACTGACATCTTAGGCTCTATAATTCTTTTTTGTGTTGTTGTGTGTTTTCTTTTTTTGGTCAGGGGCTGCTGTTCTGTGCATTATAGGATGTTAGCAGCTTCCCTGATATCTATCTACACATCGGATGCCAGGAGCAACACTTCCCTTCTTTCTGCTTTGATAGCAGAGATGTCTTCAGACATTGCCAAATATCTCTTGGGGGCAAAATCACCCCCAGTTAAGGCACTATCTTAGGCGAGATTTTAGAATACCTTCCAGCTCTAGAGGGGGTTCCCTGGTGGCTCAGACAGAAAAGACTCTGCCTGCAACGTGGGAGACCCAGGTTCAATCCCTAGGTGGGGAAGATCCCCTGAAGAAGAGAATGGCAACCCACTCCAGTATTCTTGCCTAGAGAATTCCGTGGACAGAGGAGCCTGGCGGCTACAGTCCATGTTGTTGTCAAGAGTAGAACATGACTGAGTGATTAACACACACACACACAGCTCTAGAACACTCTGGAAGGGTAAGCTTACTTTCCCACATCCTCCCAGGAATCCACATTCTCATGGTCACTGCTGGCTCCCCGTTCTTTTTCTTCCGTTACTTCCAACTCCTAGCTATGGCTCATCCTTTCACAATTCTCTTACCTTTCGTCTCCAGGAAATCCCCTCATCAAAACCTAGGTGTGTGTGGTAGGCTTTACTAAAGATTTAGAGAAATGAAGGAGCATCTTGTCATAACAGTGCACAAAATAAACATGAATATTAGACTTTGAGCTCTCAAAAAGACTCTTGGTCATTTCCATTGACTCACTCTCAAGCTTCCTTCTGTGTTACTTAATGTTCTGTCTCATTTTTCAATGCCCACTTCCAGTAACTCAGGAAGAATATTCCTTTCACTTTATTATGTAATTTCTTGTGTCTCTGTACCTGAGGTTGCATACCAAAGGTTCACTGCTGAACTGTGCTAAGTAATAATCTTGCAGGTCTTATTCTTCACCAATAGGATTTTCTAGTTCAGTGGTTCTCAAACTTTTTGGTCTTAGGGCCCTTGTATTCTCCTAAAAATTATTACAGCCTCCAAGGAACTTTACTAAGGGTATGTGGCTTATATCAGTGGTATGCTGGCAAATGTTAATAGCTGTCTCTCTGCAGGGGGCGGGGGCAGGAAAAAAACCTCTGATTTGTAGCATTTGTCAATTTCTGTGGTATAAGTACTCCCACCATAACCCATTTTAAACTACCAATGGTGTTAATAATTGACTCACAGAATTCCTGGAAATTCAACTGGGTTGTACAAGTTGGCTCCACTATATCACTGGTTATATCTACCAATGGCTATCATATTTGAAATCAAAACTGAGAAAGAAATTGAAAAATTATTTGTAATTGATTTAAAGTATCACATTCTAATAAAAAACTGTATTTTCGAAGACAGAAGGAATTATTAAGAACATGGCATTGTTTTAGTCTTGGCACATCCTTTAATGTTTGGATTAGTTGAGAACAATTGGATTCTTATGTCTGTTTCTGCATTCGTTTTGTGGCCATATACTGTTTTGGTTGAAACATTTAAAGAAAAACTCTCAGATATGTAGTTGGAAAAAGGAGTATTGTAACAGTGTTTTCAGATAATTGTGAATACTCTTTGACACCAGACAAAACTCAGCAAGGGATGGTTTCTTTATTGTTGGTTGCAATGTGGAATCTGAAACCGTATCAATGTTTTTTGGGGGTATTCCTTTATGCTAAAGTGCATCAATTTATCTTGTGATTTGGGTGGGTCTTTTATACATGTATGACCTTCAAAACTGTCTCAAAGACCCCTAGAGTTTCCTGGATCATACTTTAAGGAACTTCATCCTAGGAAAAAAGAGCAGAATAAAAGTTTATCCCACACTAATATGAATTATGGCACATTCCTCCACGCTATTTCTGCCCCTTGGAAGGCAAATGTGTCTATGGTTGGTTTGGGTTTCATTTAATATCTTTTTTTTTTCCCCTGGGTGCATTTTGTTAAACAGGAAGGCCCTTTATGTATGTCAATGCTACAGACTTGGATGATCCAGCCACACTCAATGGCCAACTTATTTATCAGATTCTCATGCAGCTTCCTAAGGTCAACGATGTCATGTACTTTCAGATCAACAACCAAACGGGAGGAATTTCACTTACTCCACAAGGTGAGTTAAGTGATGCTCTCATGGGATTCTCTGAATCAATGCAAAGGACCTAGATCCGTATCATCTTCAGAGACATTTCCTTTTCTTTTCTCTCTTACTTCCCATAGGATCCCAGGAATTGGATCCTTTGAAGAATCCTTCCTACAGGCTGGTGGTCTCAGTGGAAGACATGGGAGGCCTGAATGAGCATTCCTTTAGTGACAGCGCACCTGTGGTTATTACGGTGAAGGAGAATATTTGGAAAGCGCCAGAACCTGTGGAGATTGAAGAAAACTTGACTCAACCTTACCCCATTAAAATCACTCAGGTAGTGCCCAAGGAATGCTAACAGCCTGCCCAATCAATGCACTCACATTGTCGGGGCCCACCCTCACGGTCTTCACTGATGTTTTTGCATAGTATCATTATAAAGCAAACTAAACAAACAAAATCTCTGGCCCCAAGTCTCTGGAGTTTGCCATCATGGGCGAACTCTGGACTGTACCAACTTAGATTCATGTGTGCTAAGTCACTTCAGTCATGTCTGACTCTTTGTGACCCTATGGACTATAGCCCACCAGGCTCCTCTGTCCATGGGATTTTCCGAGCAAGAGTAGTGGAACAGGTCACCATTTCCTTCTGCGGGGTATCTTTCTGACCCAGGGATCGAATCCAAGTTTCCTGCATGGCAGGCAGATTCTTTATCATCTGAGCTACTAGGGAAGCCCAACTTACATATATTTGAATTTTAAAAGAGAACTTTACTCACCTTCATTTTCTAAGTAGATAACGCTGTTTTCTTTTTCTTGTCTGTAGTGTAGGATATGGTTGAGTTGTATGTGGTACTTGTGCATGATTTGAATTTGAGACTGCGAATTATTTTTGAAAGGTTGCTTCTTATTCCGGTGGGGAAAATCTTGATGTGAAAGATTCGCCCCATCATAGGCTGAGGGGCAGAGATAGGACCGGCCAAGAGTAAGAGCTGAGTAGACAACTTTTGTCTTTGGAGCCCACCCCCTTCCCAACGCCATCCCTGTAGGTACCTCCCCTCTCCCTTCAGGCCCTCCGCTGGTCCCACCTGTGTCTCACTCTGAGCCTCCTCTTCCTGCTTTAACTCCTGGAAATCCACTCTGGGGCCCACCCAGATCTGATCTTTCCTGGGAGATCAGGAGATTTCTTGACACCGAAAGAGCTGTGAGTCAGTGGAAGAGCACTGGATTTGGAAGCAGATAAGTAAAACCACTGCTGCACTCAATATGCCAGCAAATTTAGAAAACTCAGCAGTGGCCACAGGACTGGAAAAGGTCAGTTTTCATTCCAATCCCAAAGAAAGACAATCCCAAAGAATGCTCAAACTACTGCACAATCGCACTCATCTCACGTGCTAGTAAAGTAATGCTCAAAATTCTCCAAGCCAGGCTTCAGCAATACGTGAACTGAGAACTTCCAGATGTTCAAGCTGGTTTTAGAAAAGGCAGAGGAACCAAAAATCAAATTGNTTGAGAGTCCCTTGGACTGCAAGGAGATCCAACCAGTCCATCCTAAAGGAGATCAGTCCTGGGTGTTCCTTGGAAGGACTGATGCTGAGGCTGAAACTCCAATACTTTGGCCACCTGATGCGAAGAGTTGACTCATTGGAAAAGACCCTGATGCTGGGAGGGATTGGGGGCAGGTGGAGAAGGGGACGACACAGGATGAGATGGCTAGATGACATCACCGACTCGATGGGCATGAGTTTGAGTAAACTTCGGGAGCTGGTAATGGACAGGGAGGCCTGAAGTGCTGCGATTCATGGGGTCGCAAAGAGTCGAAGACGACTGAGCGACTGAACTGAACTGAACTGAAGTAAAACCACATTCTTGCTCTATTATCTCAAGGACTGATCATAAAGAAAGTGAAAGTGAAGTTGCTCAGTCCTGTCTGACTCTGTGACCCCATGGACTGTAGCCTGCCAGACTCCTCCGTCCATGGGATTTTCTAGGCAAGGATACTAGAGTGGGTTGCCATTTCCTTCTCCAGAGGATCTTCCTGACCCAGGGATTGAACCCAGGTCTCCCGCACTGAAGGCAGACTCTTTACCGTCTGAGCCTCCAGGAAAGCATAAACAAGACATTTATTATTTATGAGGAGTTGAGGCAACTTCTCACCAATAAAACGGGGATAACGACAGCTCTTTGGGGTGTGGCGGAAATTAATTAGTATCTGTGAAAGTGGATAAAAGGTATTGACGTCATGAGGCAGTTCTAGTGTCTAGTACTCCTATTTTTTGTTTAATGGCGCTGCTGTTGTTAAGGGGTCCTGGAATGGCCCATCCCACCGTATCTATCATCTAACTTAAGATTTTTATTTATTAAAGTTTTTTAATGTGAAAAGTGTTTCACCTCCTTTTATTTATTTAATTATTTATTTAATTGCAGGATAATTTCTATACAATGTTGTGTTTGTTTTCTGCCATACAACAATGAGAATCAGTCATAACTGTATATATATCCCTTTCCTCTGAAGCTCCTCTCTCACCGACCCCTCTGCCCCTATCCCAGCCCTCACAGTGCGCCAGGCTGGGCTCCCTGTGTTATATAGCAGCTTCCCACTTATTGAATGTTGAGTTAATGAATTTCACCTTCAGAAGAAAAAAAAATGAAAGCAAGAAGTATTCTGCTTTACCAGATAATAAAGTATATCAGGACTCACTACCCAAAGAATTTCAGTTTGGTTTCCTTTATGAAAGTCTTCCTATTTATTATTCAGGTTGCCTTCATAAGGATTTGTAAATGCTAAAAAAAAAATGCATATACTTATTTTTTCATTTTGTCAAAGAAAAGAAAATATAAAGAGCCACAGCCAATACCCAGGCCTGGGAAAAGTACTCCGTGTGTCTTCAAACTGAGGAAGAAGAGTGCAGGGGGACAAGATGGAAGAACTTGGGCTGAATTTGTAGGGCATAATGGGAGCTTGCTTACAACCAAGAACATGATCTTTGGCTTGGAGCTTAAATAACTAGAAAAGGACAGTGGTGGCTCCTTGATACCCTTCTGAAGCTGTCTTTGAGAAAATAGTTTAGTGTAGAAATTTCTACACTGAACTAAGTATAGGACCTAAGTGTAAACCTAAGTGTAGGACTTTAGGCAAGTCGTGTAAATATTCTGTGTGCTAGTTGCTCCATTTATAAGATGGGGATAACAATAGTGTCTACCTCATGAGACTGTTTGCGGATTTAATGAGATACTTTAAAGTATTTAGAATTATGTCTGGAATGGGGCACAACCCTCAATAAGTATTGTTATTAGTAGTAAGTAGATTATCATATAGGCTAGGCTCTGTCTGTAGCAAGTAGATGGGACTTACTATTGAGTTTATTGATTTTTATTTATTTATTTTTTGCCAAGTTATTTACAAAACAACACTGGGAGTTGGCAAATATTCTTATCCCTAAAGCCTATGAGATTAAATATTTAGGGGAGAGATGTTCTTTATTTATGTATCACTTGTCTTAAATAACAGCATGGTGAAGAATTGAAAGCGTCTCCTATCTTTACTGGGGAGTTTTAGGAGCTTGTCATTCATCATGGCTTTGTCCTCAGATAATGCCAGATACTAAGTATATCTTGTTTCTTAAACTGGTGTTTCATGACAGGAAGTCTTCACAGCCAGCCTTCCAAATGAACAACCTATAGACTCTTCAGAGGGTTCACAAAGAATTGCTTTAGGGAAGGGAAACACCACTCTGTGCTTATTTGAAGCAACATAACAGTGAAAAGGCATAAAAGGAGAGGGATTATTTTAGGTTGAAAACTAAAAATGTAATTTAGCAGTTATGAGAAACCACAGACATCCAAACAAGGTCTTCAGAAATTTCAAATGGAGAGCTAGAAAATTGCTTATTTCCTTTACAGTTCTCTCCGTCGGGGTCTGTCTTTGCTCACATTTCGCTCTGGGCCCTGTAGGTGCAGTGGAATGATCCAGGTGCTCTATACTCCTTAGTGGACAAGGAGAACACACCACGATTTCCATTTTCGATCGACCAGGAAGGAGATATTTATGTGACTCAGCCCTTGGACCGAGAAGAAAAGGACAAAGTAAGTAAAACTAAGAGGAGGTTCACGGGTGACAAGGCAAGCTCTTGTGCCCATGGAGATCTGAGAGCAGAAGGGATTTTACTTAACACCCACACCACCACCCCCAAGCCCCCAAACAGTGTTCTGAACCTCAGTGCCTTATTGCTCTCAAAGACATGGAAATAACCCCACAAATTTGATCCATTTTATATTTTCTCATTTCCCAGTTCTAAATGAGTTGAAAATAAGCGGATAAATGAATGTGTTCTGAACCTCAGTGCCTTATTGCTCTCAAAGACATGGAAATAACCCCACAAATTTGATCCATTTTATATTTTCTCATTTCCCAGTTCTAAATGAGTTGAAAATAAGGGGATAAATGAAATAGTCTTGAAATAGTTGTTTTCTCTGCCTTTTAAAGAGGATGATGAAGGACTCATGTTTTACCTCTGATCTTCTTATAGTATGTTTTCTATGCGGTTGCAAGGGATGAGCAGGGAAAACTACTCTCAAAACCACTGGAAATTCAAGTGAAAGTGAAAGACATTAATGATAATCCACCTACGTGTCCATCTCCAGTGACTGTACTTGAGGTCCAGGAGAATGAACAAATAGGTAAGAAAGTGTGTGTCTGTCTTCTTCAACTCTGTAATCGCTTTCTCCTCCCTGCTGGGTAAATGGTGGGCAGGTAAACCTGACTGGGGACTGGCTGTCCAAGCCCAGCACAGCATAGAGGTAGAATGCATTTTGGGACTCACATAGGTACAGTATTTCAGTTCAGGGAATATCCGAGAAGTGTCCCAAAATTGGAGTTTTCTAACTACCACCCCTACTCATAGCACTTTTAGTGCCACTGCCATTTCTACTACTGCTATTACTGTTACTGCTACAACCCTTACACCTACCGTGAGCGCCATGACCACTTACACCAGTGTCCTGCATAAATGTGTAAGGTTATCTCATCTGCACACTTTCCCCATAGATTCTTATTTGCCTTCCAAAAAAGTCAGTGACAGATGTAATCCCATCAAATTTGCTAAATAATTTAAGCAAACGTTCACACTCCATGTTAGATACCCTGCAATTCACCCTCTCTAGGAAGCTGATAAAAGCTCATGGGGCTTGAAGATGAAGTTCAATTTCTATCTGTTTTTGTCCTTTTGTTCTTGACCTGCTTCGTTGCTTTGTACTGTGCCAAGATAGCTTTAGTTTTGTGCAGGAACAACTACTGTTAGAACACTGATTTCTGGGAGTTTTTTTCACTGGATTTGGGACACCTCTTGTCTATTACTCCTTACTGCTGAGCTCATTGGTTGTGCAGAAGATCTTTGAAAACCTCTGTAGATGATACCTCAAGTATCTTTGCGTAGGGCCCAGCATTTAGTGTATTAGTCATCTATGCTGCGTAACAAACTGCTCCAAAATTTAGCAGCTTAAAACAACAAACATTGATCATCTCACAGTTTCTCTGGGTCAGGGATCTGGACATGGGGTGAGTACCTTTCATTCAGAAAGAGAGAGAGTTAAAAAAAGCAAGATGAAAGTCAGTCTTTTTCTAACCTAATCTCACAAGTGACATCCCATAGCTTTTGCCATATTCATTAGAAATCAGTCACTAGGCCCAGCTGACACTCAAAAGAAGGCAGTTACACCAAGGCATCACTGTCAGGGGTGGGGTGATTGCTGGGGGTCATCATAGTGGTGGCCTGCCTTACTAGGGAGGATAGCACTAGTTTTCTGAGACTAGTGAGGATGTCACTGTTGGTAAAACAAATTGTTCAAGGGTGCAGCCTCTCCAAAAGTGATAATTTGTTTTGTAACAATGTTTTGCAGTCTTGAGTTGTGGACTTAATGGACCAGGAATTCTCATAAATCAACACAGAATGAGTCTATTCTAATATATAGCCTAAAAAAGGCACCCCCAAAAATGTCCCTGCCTTTTGGGGTCTTACTATCTAGCTTGCTAAAATACTAAATTATCCTTTCATATATTTATATTCTCCAGTTTGGTGTCTTGTATCGGCCAGAAACTTGTGAGACTCACGTCCCCAAGTCTCAGCAGTGCCAACTTTAATTCTGAAATCCCACTTGCCACCAACACCTTTGTGTTCACATCAGAACTTTATCCTCTCATAAAAGCCCCACCTCCCCAAAGTATTTCTCAGTGCCCCAAGAAATGCTGTATATATCTCTAAATCACTTTGGGCTGCCACTTGTTCCTGGCATTTGTCACTCGGAGATAAGACACTTCTTTTTTTTTTCCCCCATTTATTTTTTATTAGTTGGAGGCTAATTACTTTACANTGGAAATCTTTCTTAAATGCAGATGGGAAATATAGCTTTTAATCCTACCTACTATTCCAGTATAATACTCCTAATTTTATAAGCATGTTATTTCATTTTCTTGTCATGTATTTATATTTTTTGTGTATGTGTGTAGTAAGTCACTTCGGTCATGTCCAACTCTTTGTGACTCCATGGACTATAGAGTCCATGGAATTCTCCAGTCCAGAATACTGGAGTGGGTAGCCTTTCCCTTCTCCAGGTGATCTTTCCAACCCAGGGATCGAACCCAGGTCTGCCCCATTGCAGGCGGGTTCTTTACCAGCTGGGCCACAAGGGAAGCCCTCAGACACCAAACCATCACAGAATTTAGAGACGCACTTTCATTCCAGCACACAGGTGCTTTTCTTACAAGGGCAGATGCAGATTCCAAAGGTGACTTGGTTGCTTGTGAGGACGCAGAAATGGCAGCTACTACCACGCTAGACACACGTTCTGATGCCTCTCCGCCCCTGGCCAGGAGACACGTCAGCCAGAGCAACCCCCTTAGAGGCATAACCTAAGTACTTCCATTCCTTCCCTCACAAAACCCTCCAAATCTCCCTGTGAATCAGTAGATGCAAAGTAACAGGGCGCGGGGATAAAGCCAGACTCCGCAAGGGGGATACATATCCAAGTTCCAGCCTCACGTGGGATTCTGGCTGTGTGTAGAGAAACGCACAATTCCCATCTAATGCAGCAAGATGACCCAGCATCTACCAGAGCTCATCCAGACAGACCTGGGTAGAGCACTGTGCTGTGACCAGACTTCTAGAACTCCCTGGACTGAGATGCTCACAGAATTCAAACTTAGGTCCATAAACTGCAGCGAGGCAGAGAGGACGCCTGCCTGCTCTCCGCCCCGTGCGGTCTTTATCTCTGGGGTGGAGTCAGTCTCTGCCGTTGTTCCAGAAACTTGCTTAGAATTCAGCACAGCTGGCTTGTCCTTCTTAGTGTTACCATTTGCCTTGTGCAAATGTGCAAAAGGGCGGCTATAACAAATGATCACCAACTCGGAGACTTGAAACAACAGAAATGTATTCGCACACAGTTCTGGTGGCTAGAAGTCTGCGATCAAGGTGCCCGTGACGGGAGAATCCTGGCCCCTGGTGGCTCCTGGCATTCGTTGGCTGCTCCTGGTGGTCACGCCGCAGTCTCTGCCCTCTTCTTCACACTGCCTCCTCCTCCGTGAGTGTCTCTGTTGCCTTTTCTGGATTTAGGGCCCAATCCACATCCAGGATGGTTCACCTCAAGATCCTGACTTGGGTCCTCCTGAATTCAGAAGGTGAAGTCCTAGCCCCCAGCACCTCAAAGGGGGACTATTGTTTAGAGACAGGGTCTTCAATGTCATTAGCGTGAGTCTTAACCCAATATGACTGGTGTCCTTCTGAGAAGAGAAAATCTAGATAGACAGGACGGGGGAAGACCATGTGCAAACACATGCAGCAGATGGCCATCTATAAGCCAGAGATCTCTGAAGAAATCAGTCCTACCACACCTTGCTCCCAGACTTCTAGTCTCCAGAAACTGAGAAAATAAATTGCTGTTGTGAAAGCCATCCATTGTGTGGTCACTTTTTTTTTTATGGCAAGCCCTAGCCAGCTAAAAATGGCCTTCCCTGGTGGCTCAGGCGGTAAAGCATCCGCCTGCAATGCAGGAGACCCAGGTTCCACCCCTGGGTTGGAACATCCCTGGAGAAGGGAGCAGTAACCCACTCCAGTATTCCGGCCTGGAGAACTCCACGGACGGTGGAGCCCTGCGGGCTACAGCCCATGGGGTCGCAGAGAATTGGATGCGACTTAGTGACTAACACACACATATGCAGCCGACTAAGACGCTGCTCCACACACTGCACTGCTGAAAAGGTTAGAAGCACCAGCATCAATCTAAGAACTTCATTCTGCTTCTCACGGTTACTTCCAGTGCCTTCTAGGAACCCGATTCTCCATGGAAGCCATTTTTTAATAGGCTAAAAAGAATAACGGATGGGTTTCCTTCTTTCTTTCCCTACAGGGAGCAGTATTGGAACTCTTATTGCTCATGACATGGATGAAGAAAACACTGTCAACAGTGTTTTAGAATACAGAATTGTGGATCAAACTCCCAAAGTTCCTCGAGATGGTCTGTTCCTGGTCCACACATACCATGGAACAATCCAGTTAGTGGTGCAGTCTTTGCACAAGCGGGACGCTCCGCAGTACAACCTGACCGTAGAGGTGTCTAACGAAGGTTAGTATCACTTTCACGATGTCGAGTGAAAACACTTGTCTTCTTTCTAGTTGTGATTGTTAGGATGCTCTAATGCCTGGGTGTGTTACAAAGGCTGCCATTGAAAAAGGTATTACTTCCCACGTAAAACAAGCCCAGAAGCCAGCATGGGAACTGCCAGAGTTGCAGCTCAGAAAATGTGATTATGTTTGTTTCCTGAGAAAGTAGATGCCCAAGAGGGGATTAAATATATAAGGATTTTATTAGGGGAACTGCCTATGAGAAAAAATGGAAAGGGATACAGAGGAGGCTGGAAGAACCGTCAGACCTCAATCCGAGCCTGACCCTGAGTGGAGGAGGGAAGGAATGAAAGTGCTGGGGAAGCTCCCGGTCAAAGGGAAGTTCGGCAAGGCCATCGGAGGTCCGCGGTTGGCTGTGGAAGGAATCTGTGGTCCCCAAAGGCAGGCCTACCTTAGCCTGCCTGCCTTGTTCAGGCACTGCTGGGGCAGCCAATGGGAAGCAAGGTCTTGGTGCACACGTGGTGATGGGTTTCAGAGCCCGGCAGCTCATTGTCAATTAAGATCCCTGTTGTTAGAAGTCATTGGCAAGCCTCCTTGTCATGGCCACCGTGATCACAAACAAGAAAGTTAGTTGTATTTCTCAAGTCTCCCTTTCAGACTCAAAGGCTTTTACTATATGACAGTGAAGGAACTTCTGGAAAGCTTTGCCTTTTCCTATTAGCTTCTAATTGGCTGTTTGATGATATTGGGAAACATTCATCTTTATATTTTATACAATTTCAAAGCAAGTGGTTTTTAATCTTTGCTAAGTCATGAGACCCTTTGAGAATCTGATGGAAACTATGAATTCCTAAACAAATGCATACGTTCTCAGATAAATTGCACAGACACACAAACATACTTGACCTCAGAGACAGGCTTATTTTAGGATCATTAATACTTCTAAGTTAAGAATCTTTCTTTGAGCTAACTGGTACTGTGTCTTAAATAACCAAGTAGTTCAGTAATTATTACACTAGGAGAGAAAGATTATATAGGTATGCTGTAGTAAAGAGTGTCATTTCACATTGTGCTTCATATTTTTTTTCTTTATCCAGATGTTGAGATACTAAAGAGATCTAAGAGTACTGGGGTTTACCCAGCCCCCAAAGCAGAAAGTTTGAGACATAGTAATTTGGCAAATATAGAGGGCCTAACATAATGCTTAGCATTATGCTAAGAGGTACAACGAAAGTGGGTGTAATAAATCATCCCTGTCTGTGATGAGCTGACAATTTCACACCATTAGCCAGCCATTCTTCTAGTGGTTACTGAATATTTACCTTGATTGAGGCACCATTCAGGGTACTGGGAATGTGCAAATAAATAAGACCTGGCGTCTGTCCTCAAGGAGCACTTTTTGTTAGAGGAGATGGAGAAGTGAATAAATAAATTATAAGGAATACGTACAAGGTAGCCCATGAAAGCAATGAGTGACTCAGTGGAGAGGGAGAGAGAACTGATAAAGCTTTCTGGAAGAGGTGTCATTAATGAGTTTCAGAGGATGAATATGACATGTTACAAAACAGAGGAGAAGGCTTACAGAGGAGAAGAAAGTCCATGTGCAAATGCATGGAGACCTAAAGCAGCTTGATGCCGTAAGAGCATAAAGTGGAAATCAGATTACAAATTGTCTATATACATGAATACATCTATAGATTATATGGACCAGATTATGCAATATATTTATATGTAAATATATGTGTGTTGATGGAATTAAACATTCAATTGTGTACTACAGAAAATTAGTCAGTAGGCTATAATTAGCATAGTTTTACATAAATTCAGGGAAGTGATTTTATTTACATAAAACCACAAGGCTCACTGCTGGTCCAAATGAGGCTTACTTGGAATAGGCAAGTGGTAAGTTCAGGCCCTGGGACCTCTCCAAATCTCCAGACATTCTTGCTGTCTACAAATGTCCTTGGGACTGGACCCAGCTTTAATTAGCATCCACTTATTTATAAGATGGTTATTATTAGGTTACATGCCTGGCCTTGTGTCTGGTGTGTTGAGAACAAGCTCTGGAGCTAGGCAGCCTGAGTATGTTTGTCAGCATCCCAGGAAAAGAAAGCCCCCTTCAAAGAAGTAACCAAAAGGAGAGTCAAGAAGGGATTGTCTGTAAAGCTGTGGGTAGGGGTTATGGAAAGCCAGCAGGAGATGTGAAGCACAATAGAGTCATTTTTACCCCAAGGTTTGAAGGGGCAATGGAAGGGCCCTCCCCTGAAGGAGCAGGCCCTGGGCCTGGGGCTGTGACTCTAGAGGAAGCTGCTGGCAGTGGGAGCCAGACTCTGACTCCATGCTCCTGCCCTTCCTCAGACCTCCTGCCAGTCTCCCCCTGGTAGAACTCAGCTGCTACCCAGAGGCCCAGGATGCCTGATGATGCTGTTCCTAAGGTCAGCCTCCAGGGCACAGAGCAGGGTGAAGGGCGGGGAGCAGATGGAGAGGACTGAGGAGCACATGGATTCAAATTCTGGCTCGACCATGAGCTAGCTGTGGGACCTTGGTCAAGTTACTCTTGGCTTCCTCGGTTGTGAACTAAATGAAAATGGTATTAGTACCTACATCACAGAGTCAGAGTGAAGATGAAGTGAGTCATGTAAGCAAAGCACTTAATACCGCGCCTGATACACAGAGAGTGCCAGCAGTGTCTGTTATGATGAGAACCTTGATTTTGTTGCTATCTACATTTTGTAAACTGACTACCACACACTGATTTCAAGTAACATGCCCAACCTCTTACACATCTGATAAGTAGCAGAGACAGAATTTCAGCNATTTTCTTTCGCACACACATCACCTGAGGGGTGTGTCAAGGTACAGCTCAGGGATTCTGACCCGTGCTGTCCAAGAGAAACTAATACGAGCCACATATGTAATTTCAATTTTCTAGTAGCTCCATCAAAAAGGGAGAGGGGATGACATTAAACTTAATAATATCTTTAATATGTCCAAAATACTGTCATTTATTTAATATGCAATCAATATGAACGTGGGCTTCCCAGGTGGTGCTAGGGGTAAAGAACCCACCTGCCGATGCAGGATACGTAAGAGACATGGGTAAAATACTGGGTCAGGAAGATTCCCCTGGAGGAGGACATGGCAACCCATTCCAGTCCTCTTGCCTGGGAAATCCCATGGACAGAAGAGCCTGGAAGGCTACAGTCCATAAGGTCGTAAGGAGTCGGACACGACTGAAGCAACTTTGTACACAGACACACAATTGTACCTTGCCTCCCTCACTTGGGCCTTCCCTTTATGGCGGCAGAAGAGATAAGGACAGTGAGTGCTGGAAGTGTTCAGAGAAGGAAAGACAACCGTCTGGGATGCTCAAAGAAGCTTTCTAGAAGGATAGTTTTGCACTGGGCTTTGAAGGCTACGTAAGTTTCACTAGTCAGAAAAGAGAGGCTGCTTCCCAGAAAGCCTGGCTCAGGAACAAGATTTTACCTAGGAGGAGGCAGGTGGATGGAGTGGGAAGCCCAGAGGAGCCTCTCCCAGGGTTTTCTTCTGCCCCACCTTGGTGACCTACACGTGGGTGTTGGTGAGGAGCAGAGAAACTCCTTGCTACGCACTTTGCAGGTCACTAGTCAGATTGTGGCATGGCTGTCACGGAAATTGCCAATTGTTTTCCTTGCAGATTTCTGATCTTAATGCATGATTTTCAGTGAAAATTTTTGTGATATGCTTTTGATTTTCAGACTTCAAGACCCTCTGCTTTGTGCAAATCAATGTTATTGATATCAACGATCAGATCCCCATCTTTGAAAAGTCAGATGTGAGTAGTTGTCACCTTGTTTTTGCTTTACTTTGTTTATATTACGTGACCCCTACTTCTGGAATAGAGACACAAATAGCAGTTAGGGATAATGCCAGATTTAATATCTTAGTTAATACGCTGGTAGTAAACTCAGGCCTCGTCTTCAGTGCAAATCTTCTGGGAACAGTAACATTCACTGTTATAGTATCTGTGAGCATCTGTTTATAAACTTTTGCCAACAGCTCATTTATTTCAAGGACTGCTTGAAAGCTACAAGCACAGTCTTTGTCAAACTGAGACGAATTGAGTGGCTGCTTGCAGTTTGCCTTTATATATTTTGTGTGTATAGGACAATAAATAGATTATTGCTAGATTCTCAAACAAGAATTTTTAGTCAAAATTTAAAATCTGGCAAAATATTGGCAATTTAAACCCACCTTGCAATAATTGAATAAGAGTCCTGTAGTCATATACGGATGTAAGAATATCTGAAGGCTGAGAGCCGAAGAATTGATGCCTTCGAACTGTGGTGCTAGAGAAGACTCTTAAGCGTCCCTTGGACTACAAGGAGATCAAACCAGTCAATCCTAAAGGAAATCAACCCTGAATATTCATTGGAAGGACTAATGCTGAAGCTGAAGCTCCAATACTTTGGCCCCCTGATGCAAAGAGTCAGTTCATTGGAAAAGACCCTGATGCTGGGAAAGATTGAAGGCAGGAAGAGAAGGGGATGACAGAGGATAAGATGGTTGGATGGCATCATTGACTCAGTGCAAATTCTGGGAGATGGTGAAGGACAGGGGAGCCTGGCGTGCTTCAGTCCATGAGGTTACAAAAAGTCAGACATGAATGAACAACTGAACAACAACAACAAAGGCAAAGAAAAAGCTAATCTCTGGTTTATGCCAAAAGAATGTGTTCATGACACTTGCAAAAATGAGAAGAACTGGGCAAAAAGAGCAGGAGGAAAAAGATCAGTTGACTACATCAAGAAGAATTCAAGCTAATTTATTGTTAATGTGGGCTTTGAACTTGGCAGTAGTTTTATCATTGCTTCCCTTAAAATGGATGCCTCTATTTATTTATTCTGGAGGAGAGAGAAGCTGTTTTGACTAGATTGTTATGTTTGAAGTCAGTGATGAGGCAGCCCAGAGCCTTGTGATGATGTTCATAAATCAAAATAAGGATAAAGCTGTGACAAAGAAAGGGAATTGATTTACAGGAGGGTTTGCAGAGGTAAAAGGTGTGACAATATAACTTGTGTAGCAGGCACTGAGGTTAAGTGGGCATGAGATTAAGAGCCTGTCTCTTCTCTGCCTCCATTCTCTTGGGTATTTGATCTTTTCTCTGTGTTATAGTTTCCTCGCATTACATCTAGACAGTGCTTTTAGACTGAGGACAAGAGTTCTGCTTTAGGAGTCTCAGAGCTTGGAAAGGCAAATGGGGCTCTAGAAAGTGTGAGTCCACTTCTTTCACTGCCATGGTCCACTCCTGGACCCTGCCTGTTATCATCTTCATGATCGTGATGTCAAGAGACGTGACCTGGGGGAGTTTCAGTGGAGGAGTGAGAGATTAACAGCACCTGCTTTGGAGGTGGACAAGCATGGATTTGAAACCCAATTCTGCGACCAGCTAGCTGTGCGGTCTTGAGTGGGTTTTTTTTTTTTTCCTTCCCAATTATTTGTATTAGTTGGAGGCTAATTACTTTACAATATTGTAGTGGTTTTTGCCATACATTGACATGAATCAGCCATGGATTTACATGTGTTCCCCATCCTGAGCCCCCTCCCACCTCCCTCCCCATCCCATCCCTTTGAGTGGGTTTTATCTCTCCAACCTTTTCTTCTCTGTCAAATGGAGATGATAACATGGCTCTTCAGTAGGGCATTTTGTCTTGTTGCTTATCTTTATTGAGCACTTATCATGTGCCAGGCATCCAGAGGTTTTATATGTATTATCTCTGTAAATCCAAACAGAAAATGTAAAATAGCTTCCATTTTTATTATGTCCAATGGACAGAAGATGAATTTGAGACTTTAAAAAATCAGATAACTTATTTCAATTCACCCAGGTAATAAGTGGCAAGCCTAGGATTCATACTGAGGCCATTTGACTCCAAAGTTCAGGCTCTTAACAACTATTCTCTGATTGATTAAGAATTAATTAAAATGATGTATGTAAAGTGCCTGTCACATTGTAGGTACTCGATACATAGTTGCTATTTATCTGTCTCATTACTAATAACTATAATGATAGTTGCAGTTATTAAATATATTGGATGCGGGTGGGAGAATCTGTTTTAGAATCCTATCAGTAGCTCCCTGAGACACTGTTTCTTGGTATAACGGGTATCAGTCTACAAGTGTGACTGTGGTCAAAAGCAACTGCATTCTGCTCATCAACAGGAAAAACATGCTTGGTAAGTATTGATGTAAACTATGACTTGTGTCCATTCTGAAACCTGAGGCAAGTTTGTTCTTTGACAATTGTGCTTGATGACAATGGACATTCTCATTGTTTCTTTCCCCTATTTCCTTCTTAGTATGGAAACCTAACTTTCCCTGAAGACACAGCTGTGGGATCTGTCATCTTAACCATCCAGGCCACAGACGCTGATGAACCACATACTGGGAGTTCTAAAATCTTGTATCGAATTACACAGGGAGACAGTGAGGGACGTTTGGAGATTGAAACAGATCCCCAAACCAATACTGGATATGTCAAGCTTAAAAAGGTAAATCGCCCATTGAATGGAATTTGTCTTTTTCATAGATTAGTTTCTTTAGGACCATTCGAGGACCTATAAGCAGAGGTGATGAATTGGTGGTGACCTCTCAGGCGCATGATGGACTGCTGGAACACCCTCAGTGATTCCTGTCCTCGTGAAAGACAGAGGCCAGGATTCTAGCTCTGGGTCTGTCACTAGATGACCAAGTAACCTTTGCAGAGGGAGGCAGGATTGCCATAAAAATTATAGAATGGATCATTTTTAGTATTACTATGTCCCATGTAATAATGGGGACATGCTTACACTAAAAAATCGCTTACTGTTTATCTGAAATTCCAATTTAACCAGGCATTCTTTCTTTTTATTTACTAAATCTTGGGCAAGGTGGTGCTCAGGGTTTTATTTTTCCCTTTGCAAGTGTGGGATGTTAGACTAGATGAGTCCCATGAACCCTTTAGGATGTAGGCTGTTTATTCTAGTGGACCAGCCATAGGCTCCTCTTTTTAATAATGACTGGAGATTGGCAGGTCTCCTTTAATAGGCAAGTTATAATAATCAAATTTATTCTCTTATACTTTCTTCCTGCCCACCCCTTACCTTCATCTTTTATGGCGCTGCTAAGTCCACTGGCTCCTGCTTCGTCTCTCCTTTTGTAAGGACTGGGTAGTCTGGAAGCCAAAATCTTGATTACCGTGATACTTGCTTCTTTGTAGAGGGTCTTCCCATTCTTGGCTCAATCTACTCCTATCCCCTACTGTATAGACCTGAAGTTTGACCCTCTCCTCCCTGGCTGCCTCATTTATGCATGTTAACTGTGTATTAGATGACTCAACAGGAAGCGGCACTCAATGTTGTCCAATATCTTTAGAATGAAAAGAGATCAGAGTTACAGCAATAGAGACTCTGCAGACCTGGCTGAATGCTGAGAGTTTGTAGTACAGTATGTGGGAGGCTGCATCAGAAAGCTCTGATGGGAAGTTTTGACCCAGAATAAAGGTATAAACTGAAAATGAAGACAAAATAATTTTACGAAAAATGGCTAGAAGCATGGGGAAAAAAGTGCCAGTGCTGAAGGAAACCCTGGAGCAGAATCTCAGAATTCTGGTAGCGTTCTGACCACACACCCCGCCTCTGACAAACGGCCTCACTGGGTTTCAGCTGCAAGGTTTGTGCGTGGATCTACTTAAAGCCAGTAGTATTTTGTGTGAGTCCGACCTTTGAAAAAGGCGCCGTTACATCTTCCCCCGCTATTCATGGCTGCCTACATGGACTCAAAGAACCCAGAAGGAAAGGCCAGGGCCCTGAGTGTGCAAGGCCTGCTCAGCAGGTCCGGGCAGCAGGCCTGGTCCTGTGGCAGGAGGTGAGGGCAGATAGCATCCTTCCTTCCCCAGGACCAGCACCCTCTAGATGTCTAAGAGATAAAAGGGCTGTCCATCTCAGTATGAAACTCGGTAACTTTTCACGGTGGCTTATTGTAAACTAATGTAAGTTAATTTGACCATCTGTGGCTAATGGGCACCTATAGGGAAAAGTTGGTAACCTTGATGATCAGCAGTAGGTGAAGGCTCTAAGTATCTTCCCACACCCTCCTTGACATGAGGGGGTGTGTTCCAGCAGCGGGCCTCTGGCCAAAATCTTGGTCACATCTTTATTTTGTTTGTGATTGTATACCAAGTATCCAGAATATTTGCACATAGTGTAGGTTCAATAAATCTTGGTTGCCTGAATACATAGTTGAATTCTGTCCCATGTGCAATAAATAACAAGCAGGTATGAAAACCATCATTCAACTTGTGCTTTAGGCTTTAGGTTTGTGCTTTCCTGGCTCTCCGTCCCGCAGGCACTGTGATCACAGTAGTCTAGGAAGAGGATTCATCTGACTGTCCATAGAAAAGGTGACGACGATAGAACAGAACTGGAGTCCTGGAACGCTGAAGGGTATAAGCTGCTAGACTAGCCAGAGGCTACATTCTTCTTCAAGAATGTATTTTTCCACCAAATTGCATGTCTTGAATACCACTGATATCTCAAAAACCTCTTCGCAAGATCACTTTGGTAATTAACAGACCTTCTAGTGTAGCTTGAGACTGTGCTAGCTCCGAGCCTGTAACAGCTGCCTCTGGGGTGTGGCTCTGATTGGGATCTTTCAAATGCTAAGTGACAGCCAGCCCAGAGGTGTGGATCCTTGACCAGGATACCCTGAATGTCAGCCAACTGCCCCTAGGATGTGTGTCCTCACCATGACAGATGTGTTCATGCAGTTTTCAGTTTTTAAAAAATAAATTAGACTCTATTATGTGGTTTCTCTGGTGGCTCAGAGGTAAAGAATCTGCCTGCAATGCAGGAGATGCAGGAGGTGTGGGTTCCATCCCTGGGTTGGGAAGATCCCCTGGAAGAGGGCATGGCATCCCACTCCAGTATTCTTGCCTGGAGAACCCCATGGACAGGGGAGCCTGGTGGGCTACAGTCCATGGGGTCACAAAGAGTCAGACACGACAGAAGCGACTGAGCACACATGTATGTGGTTTCTCTTGCATAGCTTAGCCTTATTGCTTCAGAACCATTGTACTGATCATTAAAAAAAATTTAAATCCCAATGTAAGCTATCATGATTCTATCAGCACCTGTTCACCTGAATTAAATGTGCAAATAAAAGTGAAACTCGCTCAGTCGAGTCCGACTCTTTGTGACCCCATAGACTATACAGTCCCTGGAATTCTCTAGGCCAGAATACTGGAGTGGGTAGCCTTTCCCTTCTCCAGGGGATCTTCCTAACCTAGGGATCGAACCCAGATCTCCCACATTGCAGGCAGATTCTTCACCAGCTGAGCCACAAGGGAAACCCAAGAATACTGGAGTGGGTAGTCTATCCCTTCTCCAGGGGATCTTCCCCACCCAGGAATTGAACCAGGGTCTCCTGCATTGCAGGCAGATTCTTTACCAACTGAGCTATGAGGGAAGCCCTAAATGTGCAAATGGCAACCGATAAAATTCACCGAGGAGCGCATACTCCACAACTGTAGCCCCTTTCGCTTACTCCTTTGCTTCTCACGCTAACCCCAAGGGAGGCAGAAACAGTCCCATCGTCCAGCTGAGGTTTGGGCTCACAAGTTACAGTCAGCCCCTCTACTAGATGGCGGAGCTGGGAACTTGACCCCTGGCTTCTGACTCCTTTCAGGAAAGAACTGCTAGGGGGGCCTGGCATTGCCATGTACTAGCTCTGCGACCTTGACACAAGTGTTGTAACCTCTCAGACCTCAGCTTTCTGATCTGAAAAACTGGCGAACTGGTAGAACCTTGTTGATGAGGACCCTGGAGGATTCAGTGAAAAAACACACACGTAGCTCTTAAGACAGCCCCTAGCAAGTGGTAGCCAACTTCATAAATGTTCAGCATTATCTTAATTCTAATTAACTGGAGGGAGGGCAGAAGTTAGGACTCTGGCTGTGGACAGATGAGTCGTTTTCTCTTCTTGCCAAGGGGGCCGAACTTGCCCGATCCCAGAGTCAAACGGTGCCCACTGCGGACAGCTGACTCAGGCTCTCTGGGGGAGGGCCTGGAAATGAGTCATTTTAGCAAGCGCCCTGCAAAGGCTGTCTCCTCCACTCTTGAGTAACCACTGCACTTCACGGTGGATGCCAGGCGTGTGGGCTTTCCACACACCTATCAATTCTCCAACGCCAGCCTGGGGTCCTGCGACGTAACTCAATCCTGACACTATCTGTTGGGAGACAGCATCCGACCCCCAGGTTAAGGGCTCAGTCCCACTCTCCCGCCCCTCTTCAGAAACCAACCGCTAGTCTCAGGTTGTCACCTGTTCTTCTGACTGACTGGCTATACATCAAAGGTTCACGACTGCCTCCTTAGTTTCCAGCATTTGCTAGAACAGCTCACAGAGCTCAAGGAAACGTATTTACCAATGTATCACGTAATAAGGGATATGATGAAGGATCCAGCTGAGCAGCCAGATGAAGAGATACATGGAGTGAGGTCTGGGAGGGCCCTGAGAGCAGGAGCTTCCATCTCATGGAGTTGAGGTGTATGTCACTTCCCCAGCTTGTGAATGTGCTCACTAAACCAGAAGCTCTCTGAATGCCTTACTCTGGGGCTGTTTATTGAGCCTCCATCATGTAGACATGATTGATCATGAACTCAATCTCCAGCCCCTCTCCCCTTCCTGGGATATGGGAGGAGTTGTGCTGAAAATTCCAAGCTTCTAACCATGGCTTGGTCTTGGTCTGATAACCAGTCTCCCTCCTGAAACCATCCAAGGAGCCACCAAGAGTCACCTCATTAGGACAAAAGACACTCCCATCACCCAGGAAATTGCAAGGGATTTAGGAGCTCAGTGTCAGGAACCAGAGGAAAAGACCAAGAAATACTTTTTCTATCAATTCACATGCCCCAAGTGATGCTTGGGAATAAACACGATTTAGAACTGCTGTCCTCTCTGTCTTTACTGCCACCCTGAGCTCTGGCCTATTGTGTGATAGATCAACATATTCTTGAGACCAAGCAGGTATCAAGAGCCAGGAAGGCTATTTCTCTGAGCCCTGCTGCACTCATCAATAACTCTCCTGAAATTGAAATTCAGACGTTTGTTTTGGCTTTAATGTTGTTTTTTTTTTTTTTCCCCCTCCTAACGGGCCTCCCTGCCCAGGTCAGATCAGTTCAAACCCACCTCCCCTAGCTGCTCCCAGAGTTAACTTCCTTCAACCCAAATCCCACCTTGTCAGTCCTGTGCTGACCACTTCTCTCTGCTCATCAGGCATCAAGTCCCAGCTTGTTAGCTTGACGCGCACTGTCTTCTCCATCACCTCTCTCTTCTCTCAGGTCACACGTTCTGTCCTGATAACTCTCGCTGCTCTCATTTGCAGGCACACCATTTCATTTCTTTATCCCTCACCTCCGGTGGCGTCGTGAAAGGATCGGAAAGCCAGGGAGGGGACTGAGGGCCTGTTTGATGTAAGGATGGGGTGCACGTCCTCTGCCTGAGCCCAGAGAGC